ACTGATGTGTCCTCTTCTTCCATGGAACATAGTTAAATTACAGTTCCCAGTCTCTTTTGCTGCTAGATAGTCACATGATTCGTTCTGACCAACAGAATATGAGCAGAAATAGAACTTTTGCCAGGTATGTCTCATTTTCATTTTCTTTCCTCCTCAGCCAACTGATAATAGAGGACTCTGAGAACCAAGAGGAATCGGGGCACTGGATAGAAGAAGCCTGAGTCTCTGAATGACTTCTTGGAGCTCATTCCCCTGCCAACCTGAAATTGAATTTGACAGAGCTATAAATTAGCTGTTGTTGTGTTAAGCCATTGAGATTTGTGGGTTTATTAACAATAGCTAGCAAAACTTGAAGCAATACAAATTTGTAGCGAGATCTGGGACATTGTATGTCCTAAATAAGTGATTGAAATTTTAAACTGTATTTTGAATTCTCTGGCTGTTTCATGGAGTAAGGCGAGGAAGTGGGACGAGGATGAAGAGAAGCTGGAAACAGAGGAGAGTGTAAGGTTAGGCCGAAAGAAGACTGCCATGGGATCATTCAGGAAGGAAAGGTGGGCCCACAGGAGGTGCAGCTGTGGGGAGACAACACATGGAGAGATTGGGGTTTATGTAGGTAGAGGGCCGGGAGGAGGAGGGGCCACGGCAGCTGCGGACCTGACCTCAGAGCCTGGAAACCTCTTATGGTCCACAGGACACCTGACCCCAGAGGTCCAGGATATGATCTCAGAGGAAGGGGAAGTGACTTCGAATCTCAGTCACCTGGGTTATGCAGGTGCTAGGCAGAGACTTGTAGGGATGGACACGTGGTCCAGCATAGAAAGCAAAGCAGGGAGAGGGGTCTACATGCAGCTTTGCCCAGAGAGAAGGGACCATTTTCCCAGGTGGACCTAACAAAGAAAAAGATGGAGAGGGAGATAGGAAAAAGGGAGAGAAGAGGAAGTAAGGAGGACAAAAAGGAAGGAAGAAGGAAGGGAAAAAATAATACTGAAGTCGGTATACACTTTATAACTAGGTACATTTAGCTAACCACAAAACCCAGGGAAATATTTTCACCATTTTTCCACATAGCTCCAAATACTGAACTTCCTCCACAGCCAAATAAAATGGCTGTGTCGACCCGAGATGCCCGGGCCTCCTCCCATTCTCAAGGGTTGCAGCTGCACAGGGCCTGCTGTCTTGCCCCAATTTCAGAACACCATGGCGCAAGCTCTGGATGGGCACCCACGGACAGGAATAGAGAAGTGTTCTGTCATGATTTTACTGAGGCAGATCTTAAATCTGGAAGGAAAGCCCATGTTTGTTATAGGTCTTATGGCATGCAGAGACTCTGTGGCCCAGAAAAACAGATGCTAGTCCTGGCAGTAATCCTCTTAGAGTGAGTGGAGGTCAACTCTAGGCATGCTATATCTATATTATACACAAAACTCAGCTACTGGAGGAGAAACTATTTCAATAATCCAATGGGTGATAGGTGATTCTATCTGCACTTAACAAAAGTCAGTTCTTACCCTTCGTATGTTTTAAATTACAAATATAAAATGTGTTGGTTGTAGCAAGTTAAATATATGCAGAGGTACAAGTGGAAAAGTTAATAATCAGCTCTATGAGTTCAATGACTGCCCTCCCCAAACCAACACACATTGGTAGAGTTAATTTCTCCACCTTTAACTTTTTTGGAGGAAGTACAAATATATATATATATATATAATAGTTTTGTTTTGCCTAATAATTTAGTATAAATCTCCTCTCAGATGAGTACATTCAATACTACTTTATTCTTTTGAAATAAAACTTCCCAGAAGACAGAGCTGTTATAGGTTGGGATTCAAAACATTATCAATTTTAAGAGTTAATAATGGCTGTTGATTTATTTTTTAGTGGAAAGTAAAATGGTCACTATACCAATGTATGCTACTTCAAACGGGCAAAGAAATGTGTTGTAAGGTTGGAAGTATTTCAAACTTGGTGTGACAAGAAGCAGAATATTTCTCTGAGGTGAACCTGAAATTACTTCCTCTAGGAGACTTGGGGTGCTCTTGTCTTGGTGCCTCGCTGTGTGAATCTTGGTAGGGAGAGGACTTCCCTAAGCAGACATTCAGCATCCTCTCTGGGTTGCTCTTGGCATGCACAGTCGTCTTGCCACCTCTTGGACCTGGCTCATCTGACAGGAGAAGGAAGGTACAGCCAGCATTAGCATGCAGGTCACGCATCCTCTCTTTGTTCTCTTGGCTGGGGTCAGATGGAATAAATCAATCAGACTCTGCATCCAAAGTCCTTCAGTGTATCCCAGGGCCTCCCAGTCCATGTGTGCTCTGCCCATCTTTTAATTGCCTCTTTTAGAGTCAGCAGGAACAAACAGAACTAAAAGGAGCCCCTTGGGGCAGTAAGCAGCTGCTCCCAGGAACCATCTACTGTAAGGGTTCTCTTTGTGTTCCTGAGGAGTTCATGTTTTAGGTGGGAGAAGCTAGCTCAGACTCTTTGAGGCCTAAGAATACACACTGCTAATATGAAATATCACTTCTGGTCATTTGCTCTACCAGACCAGACACACTGAACAAATAGCACTTTGTCCTCCTTGAAGTCTACTGATTGGAAGCTAGACTCAGAGACCCAGTGATTTGCCTATGACCACCCAGCATTAAGGTATAAGCAGCTAAAAGAGTACCTTATTATTAGCCACATCCTCTGGCTGTATCTGAAGGTATCTTTGATCCCTTACTGTTCCCCGCAGGTATCCTGGCTTTCCATACTCAATTGTGCTGTCAATAAATGGATTCTATTTTTCAGATCTCTTGAGTTAAACAGACAGACCCTAGATGGGTCCTGCAAAATACAGCTAAACTAATTTTACTATAACCCAAAGAAATCCTCGGAGTCCCTGTCTGCCTAAATAGGTAAGTACGGTACCTTTTAGTTTGCCTCATGCTTTCTCACCAGAATGGATCTATCTGTCTGAGAGAGAGGTGGGAGTTGGAGGCCGCATAGTGGAGCAGCAACAGCTTCCTAGATGGTAGGATTCGCAGGGACTGCAAACTGTAGCCTGTGGGCAGATCTAGTCCTCTACATGTTCTTGTAAATAAAGTTATAGTACAGGTCTACACATTCATGCACAATATCTCTGGCTGTTTTTACATATCAGCACAGCTAAATAGTTGAAACAAGAGGCCATATGGCTCTCAGTGTCTGAAATACTATCTGACCCTCCACAAAAAAATGTTTACTGATCATTGGGAAAGACAGAATTAGAGTCATGGAGGTAGATGTGTAACTTTCTAGTTCTTAGAGGGACTAAATTCATAGATTTTGCAATGTCACAAGGTAGTAATGACTGGATGATGCATAATAGACATATGTCAAGAATGATTGCTATTATTAAATTATGTGTACCTGAAACAGCTAGATAGAAAGACAAAAAGGGACTTTTAGCTGTTAGTACAATTTAAATGGTTCTTGGTCACCTGACCTTCTTTGCTACCCTTGTTTATCTGTGATGCTCCAAAGATGTCAATGAGTAAGACAAAAGACAGCAGGCTAAGAAGACTTACAGGAGGCAGGCTTGTGTGAGATGGAAGGGTGTTGGCCAAAGGAGAAAAGGATCTCCCGTAAAGAACAGAGTAGCATGAGGAACACGGCATGGGCCTCCCCTGCTGTCCAGTCATGGTTGCCTTTCCAGGACCAGAAGCTCATTCATCTTGGAAGCATTCTCCTGGGGAATTGTGAACATTCATGAAGACAATAGGGACCATGGCAAGTATTGCTTTATTTAATCCTGGGCACCATCTTATAAAAGATAGATTACCATTATCCGCATATGAGAGATGAGGCTCTGTGTAAGCAAATTGAATCTAAAACCCACACTTGACTAGTTGCCCAGTCATACTTCCTGGACCTGCCATGTTGTTGTCAAGGGTCTGGCACATGTTGAACTGTTGCAGAAGGGCCACTTTAGGTACTCAAACTTCATCTCAGTAAAGGACAGAGGATTTGCATATTCAAAGAAATGGTTCCAGTCTCTGGTGGGAAAGTTCCTAGCAACTTCAATGAGAGGATAGTCACAGTTCATTGGTGCCCAATGCTCACAGTGGAGAGGGTGTGTGTGGAGGGAGGAGTTTATTGTTTTATAGTGAAAAATGAGGCGAGGAGTCTGAACCTGCACATTGAGAAAATAAAGCCAGATTGAGAAGTATTTCAAAGTCATACGAACCTAAAGGTCAATTTAACTAGGGAGCTGGCGGCGGGGGGAGGGATGAGCAAGCAAGCAGCTGAGAAGTATCTGTGGCACCAGGGAGAAGGGGGTTGTGAGGTTCACTAAAAGAAACCATGGCTATGGATTTCAAGGCATCAAGACCCTGTCAACACAGCTAATCCCCACGGATGTTGGCTGAATAAGCCCTGGATGACCAAAGACGTGCACTGTGGAAACCGTGTCAGCCTCCAGCAGGCCAATTTGTCCTCATATTACACACTCTGCTGGCTCTGTTGCTAGACCCCCAGACTGAGGAGCTGTGTTGCACGTCCCCCACCCAGTGAGGGTTGACACAGCACGGTTAATAAGTCAACAGAATGCAGAAGGCACGACCGGATTAAGAAGGCCGTTTTATTTTGGTGCCCTGGACTTCAAGCAGATTAAATAATCAAAAAGGCCGAGCCATCGGGGTCATGTTTGAATGCTACAGCTGTTCTCCAAGGTCTGACAAACATTCTTTATGTGGTTTGCTGTCTGAATAGGAAAGGCAGAAATGATCTCAGGGAGGCTGACACTCTAAGAAAGAAGCGGGACACAATCAAAAGATCTTATGGAAACTGACCCAAGCCAGATGGAGACTAGGGGACAGGCTGTGGTCTACTGAAATCGACAACTGTTTTCCGCATCAAAGAAAAGAACAAGCAAGATTCACAGAAAGAAAATGAAAAGTTTGCCATGTCCTCGGTTTGTTGATCTGCGGATTTAATAAGGGTGGGCTTCGTGTTCAACCAAGATGCTTGCTTGTGGAAAATCAACCATGAAAGGTGAGCAGGGATGAATTCTCTCTCCCCTTATTGAAGTTGCTCACAAAAGAGAGGGAGGGAATCCCCTCAAAGGTGTTCCTGGGAAATCTGTTTTCAAGCTGTCTTTCTGAAAAGCTCAGACATATATTAAAAAAAAATATCTCTGGATGGGAAGATTTTTGTTTGCCATGTTGGGTGCTGCGGAAGGAGCTGGAGAGAAATGTATGTAGCCCTGATGTGAATATGTGTCACAGGCCTTCATAGACAACATGGTATTTGGAGCTGGAGTTCATATACTACTCCTTTTGGGTCGGGGGAGAAATCAAAGAGAGCACTAGCTCGAATCTCAGATAAGCTTGTCATTAATAGGACAGAGAAGATTCTGTGGATGACACATTGTCCAGTTTAGAAATTGGTTTCCTGCAACTAATTGATGTGTGAGTACCACAGCTAGAGTGAAGGGGTGCCAGGTCATTTCTAAAGGGAAGATGTTTTGGCTTTGAAAGGAGTCATTTAGATATTTGTGAAACTAATAGAAAGGGGAAAAATGAGGACTGTACGCTTATTTCAGAAAGAGGGAGGGGACTGTGCTGTCTTTGAGCTAAATTAAATTGAGTAGCAACTCACTGGAAAGGCTTGACACATGTCTGTCCCATAGGCCTATGACACCCATCAACTAGAAGAAATCCAGGAACAAGGGCAGAGTGAGATCCAGGGCATTCTACAGATGCATTCCTACTCTCCCTATTGAAGGCCTCAAATAAACAACTTCCCCAAAACTTCATCATGACTAAATTATTTTGTGTTTTGAATATTACTACATGGCCTTGTGAATTATTGTTCCAATCGAACAAAATGTCCTTGACAGATGTTTGACATGTTTTGATATTCAAACTCAAGAAAAAAGAAAGGAGTGAACAACAACTTTGTACGGGTGATCTAGCAGTATCTAGGATGCCTCAATCCCCTCTGAGACTTACAAGGAGACCTCTTTTGATTGCAAGAACTCTCCCACAGAGCTAAGGAGCTTGAACCAAGATACTCCTATCTCTTGCATGTATAGTGAGGAAAAAAATAAAGTAGCTCAAATGTTAGATAAATATCAGCTTGACATGGTCCCACCATGCAATTGTCTAGTAGTTAAAAGGGAAAATGAATTTTCTTGTGGCCTTGTAGACAAATGAATTTTTGAGTTAATAAGACAGATTGAGAATGAGACATGATGATTATGCTTAAGATTTTTCAAAAATCTCTATGCAAATCTGTATGTATATGTGTGTGCATGTGTGTATGTATATATAGACAGAGAAATAGAAGGAGAGAAAGAGAGGGAAAAAGAGGGAGAGAGAGACAGAAAGAGAATCTTACTTGGTCTATACTAGGATGTAAACAAAAATATGCTTATGGCTCTGGAAGCAGACTGGATTCAAATCTTGGCTCTACTATCTATGTGACACAGGAGAGTAATTTAGATTCTCTGTGTCTTACTTTCAATACCTCTAAAATGATAAAAAAAAAATAGTCACATTTATACAGTTCTGAGAATGTGTGTATGTATATATATGTATGTAAATGTATATGCATATAGAAGAGAACACATACTACATAAGTACTATTTATTGATGTATCTATAACTATTGTTCTTAGCATGTCTGGAGAGATACATCAGGAGTGGAGAGGAAAGGAGAAAGAAAAAAAGTGACAGGCACTAATCAGAGAGTTGAGTTAAATCACAAACACATTGGCCTTTTACTGAGAAGAAAAATGAAGGGAGTGTGATAACAAGTGGATGGCTGGAACACTGTTCTGGGAATGTGGAAGCTTACTATCTTTTAAAAAATATTTTAGATATAGTATTTATTCGAGTTGTTTTCAGAAAAGACGTAAAAATACCAAAAACTTTCTTCTTACCAGGAGTTTTTAAGAAAATGAAACTAGTTTGTACAGAACAATTTCATAAGCAGCATAATTCTTATCTCCTCATACCTATGCACAGAGGCAGAACATTAACATATTTAGACCCTTTGATTGAAGACAACATTTATAATGGCATAAAATATAATTACTATCAATCATGCATAAAAATTCCAAATCAAGAGAAACCAGGCTGCTATTCAGGCAAAGTGTGAGTTAGTATAAGTGAAAGAAGCAATTGTATCAAACATGTTTTAGCAGAATATTAAAAATCTATATTTAAGCTTTGTTATTATCTTATTCTTAATATTTTTCTGTACCTGAGTTGAAAGGAGTATAATCATAGCATGGACATCAATTATACAGCTAGGATAGGTGCTATAACAACACCAGTTTATAACACCTGCCCCAGCCAATACAGTAACCAGTAGCTGCATGTGGCCATTTAAATTGAAATTAATTCTCAGTCCCCTGTTTGTAGTTGTCATATTTCAGGACTTGGTAGCTAGTCATGGCTAGTAACTCCCACATTAGACAGCAGATAGAAGGATATTCCTACCATTACACAAAGTAATGAGCCATGCTTAATAGAACTCTCTGGAGCATACCTGACCAAAAGATGTAAATATCTAAAATCTTCTGCCACTCTCCTACATGTTAGAATCCACAGAATTCAGTTGTACCCTACAAAGAGTTCCCGAAAGATCTTTTTTGCCTTTTTAGCTGATATTGTTAAGCTTTCCACCATCTGATTGCTGTGGCGCCAGAGTATCTTTTCCAAGGCTGCTGACAAGAGCCAGCACAGAATTTTGTAACTGGAACAAATGTGCTCAGTCCATCTTGCTTCTGCTTAAAAAGGTGATAATGAGGCAACAATGCCTGATAAGAAATGTACTCATTGCCTTGCTCATGTAACTGTAACCCCTCTGTACAGTATTTTCACAATAAAAACTTATTTTTTTAAAAAAAGGTGAATAATGCAGGTGGTAGAAGGTGTTACCTGCTCAGAATTGCCCTGCCTATGAATTCAAGGGGTGTATGGGGGGAGACAGGAAGGTATAAGATACTGATGACTCCTCATATACCAGCTCCTTATCCCATTCTGTCCTAGGTTTGCTGCTGCTGCTATTTTCCAGCACGATTTTCCTGCTCCAAGGAGTATGTGACTGCCCAGAGAAGTGCTTCTGTCACCCATCCTCAAACTCTGTGGACTGTAGCAGCCAGGGTTTAGCTGAAATTCCTCCTAATCTGCCTCCTCAGACACTAATCCTGCACTTACAGAATAACCAGATCCATCAGCTTTCAGCTCTTGCATTTAGGTCAGTGCCACGACTCATAATCCTAAATTTATCCAACAATTCCCTTTCAAATCTGGCCCCTGAAGCTTTCAAAGGTCTTCAGGACTTGCAAGTTCTAAACCTAACTCAGAACTCCTTGCTTTCTCTGGAAAACAGCCTCTTCCATGCACTCCCCCAATTGAGGGAGTTAGATTTGTCATCCAACAACATAAGTTATCTTCCTGCATCCCTGGGCAAGCCTTGGGAGAACCTAACCATGCTTGCAGTGCAACAAAACCAGCTTCAGCACTTGGATCGTGAGCTCCTGGAATTCATGCCCAGAGTGAAGCAGTTACTTCTCAAGGACAACATCTGGAAATGCAATTGCCACTTGCTGGGTCTGAAACTCTGGCTGGAGAAATTTATCTATGAAGGTCAGTATTGTCTCCTTAGAAACCCCATGTGGTATCACCAGCTTAGCATGAGCCTCTTTTATTCTCTGCATCAAGAAAAACAAGCAGAAGGAAAGGGGAAGCTTTAAGCTTTCTCACATAGATGTCATTTTATGGTGCAGCCCAAAAGGCAAATGTGCCATGCAGATGTTGGGGATCCATTCTTTTCCATTTGTATATTTATAACATAATTCACAATCCATTAAAATTATCAATACAGGCATATGATTGTGGGTAGCCTGTCTATATCTATGAATCTGATGCATGGAGATATAACTTCCTAAAGGAACAGAACATGAAGTCAGTTATCCAGGAATGATGTCCTCAAGAAGAAGGAACTTCAGTTGCCCACTAAGTAAACTCCAAAGTCTAGTTGCCCACTAAGTAAACTCCAAAGTCTAAATTTCAGTCAGGGACATGGGTATCATTTCCTACTTTTTCTGCCTTTATTCGTTTCACAACTATAAACTTTCCTGGAGATATTCTCTTTTGTGTGACAAATGCTAATGTTATTAAAATTGGGTATAGTAGTTACTATTTCTTTTTTTGGGGGGGGGGTCTGGTCGTGGGGCCTGAAGTCTGGGCCTGGGCGCTGTCCCTCAGCTCTTCAGCTCAAAGCTAGAGCTCTACCACTTGAGCCACAGCGCCACTTCCGGCTTTTTTCATTTTGCTTATGTGGTGCTGAGGAATCGAACCCAGGGCCTTGAGCATGCAAGGCAAGCGCTCTACCACTGAGCCACCTTCCCAGCTCCAGTAGTTACTATTTCTTTAACAAGATGCCAAAAGAAAAACAAGAGTATCCAGAATATTAAAAATGCAGGACTCTGGGTATTACCCATGATCTAGCAAACTGTAGCACAAGGCCAAATCCAGCCACAGGTTTTTGAAAAAGTATTTTTATAAGCAAAGTTTTACTAGATCACAGCCATGCCTTTCATTAAAAACTAAGTGGCTGCTTTACACTATAAAGTTTGAATAGTTGTGATAGAGACCTGAAGTTTATCGTATTTACTATCTGTCCCGTTAGTGAAAACCCCAGATTTCATTGTGAAATGGAGGCCAAGATATACTTATGACTTGCCCAAGATCACACAATAGAAACACAGAAGAGAATAGAAAGTATATGGCTTTTCGACCTTGGCCCAATATTCTTCAGTGATGACATTGTGCTTCTCTGAGCATCATTCATGTATTCATCTCTTTGAGTGCCTTTGGTATGCCAGGTATTATTCCTGGTACTGAGAAAAGAATGATCAACAAGAAAATCCTTCTTGTAATGAAGGTTGCCTTGGAGTTCCAGAAATAACTGTTAAATAAGGTAATACATAAAGATATGTGCATTCTGATGGCAGAGCTAAGAAGACAATAAAAATGTAGAGAAGTGTGGAGAGTGTGATGAAAGAAACGGCTCTGTTTTAGAAAGGATGAACAGGAAAGATCTCTCCTAGGAGGTGACATTGGTAAGCAGAATCATTTATCCAGGGGATAACTGAGAAAAATGACAGCAAGTTCTAAGGCCCTAATGAATACAGTAGCTTGGCTTGGTAAAGAACAAGAAACATTGCATCAGAGGACTACAATGAGGGAGTGGTGCAGAGATCAGACAACCCAACTAGTCAGGGATCAAGCCACATGGCAGGTGTAGAGCAGGTTCAAGTGTTTGGGTTTTACTCTAAACGGAATGAAAAACTGCTGAGGAATTTTTTGTCCAAGGAACAATATGGGCTGATTACAATAAGAGGTCAGTGGGGGTGATTGTTAAGAAAAGCAAATCAAAATTGTAGGATAAGAGCTAGAGCGGTGGAGAAGGTCATTTTAGTCAGCCAGGGATGAGTTGATGATGGCTCACACTGGGGTAGTGAAAAGTGATCAACTCCGGAAGATATTTGGAATATTATACTGATAGAAATGGCTAATGGTCTGGAATGAGGAATTCCATTTTCTTCAGCCTTGCAAGGGTATGGGATAGATGGTGGCACCTTTATCAGACATAGCATGTGGGGGATGCATTCACATGTTCATTGTGAGCACATTGGTGGTACCATTAACTCTCCTTGGGGAGATGAATTGGTGGTTGTATATTTGAGCTCTGGAAGACGTGACAGCTGCAGATCTGAACAGAGAAACAACAGATTCTGACTAGCTGCATTAAGTCTCAGGGAAGCAGGTGAGTTAACATAAGTTAAGGAGCTTCACAACAACATAATAGCAAATAATATCTCACTAACCAGCCAGCGATGTGCACGTTAACCAACAACAGCAGCCCCACAATGTGACAATGTCTTTCTGATAGGAGGTTGTGAATAAAACCACTTGCATCTGGAGGTGAAGCAGCTTCAGATATTGTGTTCTGGGTTAAATTTTAGTCATAAACCAGACCATCGCAGAAAAAGACTGTTCATCGAAGAACATTTCTTGATGTTAAAAAAAAAAAATCATTCCTAGGCCCAGGACATTAGAAGCAATGTGGGATGGGATACTGTTCTCTTGCTCAGCCACAGACTTGCTGGTGGTCTTTGGGCAAATTAATGCCTTTCACTAGTACTCAGTGTCACCAGATGGAGACTGACAGTACTAAGACCAATCCTGATCTTCAGATTGGATGATGCAGGTCACCCTTTCCTTGTGGCAGAGCTACCAGAGCACAGATAATAGCTTTTTATAAAGGGGAAAATGAAATCAATTTGGGGGTAACAGGATCTGGATGTCACACAATGACTTGAAAAAAATCCCCAAATAGATGCTAACCCTGGAGACAGTCTGTCTGATTATGCATGTATTACATAAAATAAAGGAGCAGATGTTAGTCAATAACTTTATAAACCCATGTGAACATTAAAGGTATTAGGTCAGGCTGATTTAATACACCAGATGATACTGGATCTCAGTCATACATGTAGCAAAAGTCAGAGTCTAAGAGCTTTGGAGGGAAGGTCTGCATTCTATGAAGTCATCTAGATAGAAGTTCCTTCTAGCTTGTAATACCACTGAGTTTTCCAAGTGGGCAATAGGGCACCACCAAAAGAGAACACAGTACACAGAAGATCATGCTAGAGATTCTGATCCCTGAAAGTGAAAGTTTTGCCTCCACTGACCAAAACTCAACCCTATGGCCCCAGTTCCCTCAAGGAATGGGAAATTCTAGTCTTCTCGTGGGTCTAGGGCACAAAGATGTGCTTTAGTTTTTACACAGTAATGTCTCCTCTACAAAAAAGGCACTCTTCCTCTTTATTCAAATGTAGACACATCATCTTCATGTTTATGGTTAAATATTAAACATTTAGTTTAGGCTTGGAATTGTTCTAAATATTTGACACACTTCATCCACTTGAGTCCCCAAGGCAATTTTTGGGAGTGAATTTTATTATTACTCCTTTTCCCACTTTGCAGGAATAATGTTTTAAAGGATCTTTTTCCAGGATTGCACAAAATAATATGCACAATCAAATTCGAATCTGGTTTCTTCTTCGCAGGTTTAAAAGGTACTAGTGGTCCAATGAGGAACAGTAAGCCCTTGGCAAGCTAGAGTTTCCCACATTGTCAGTTGTATAAATAAAGAAGGGAGTAAATCTCTCGCATTCTACTCAGACTTGGTCAGGATCCTGTGACAGTGGTGGAGGATAAGATGTGCATCTTTGGTGAGGACTCAGATATATCTCTGGAGCTCTTAGCAGCTACAGCTCCTGCATTCCTGCCATGTCCCAACGGCCAACCTGTGAATTTCCTTTGTAAAGAAATTGTGGGCCCTAAGGTTGTGGATCTCAGGTGAACGCTGAAAAGCAAGAAATGTGGGGCTGGAGAATGGCAATGCTGTACCTGAAGTGATTTAGCAAATCATCCCACTTCAGGTATAAGGCAGCTATTGGAACTGCCTCACCCCTGGCAGGCAGCCTTTGTCCTCTGGTGGGAGTCTCCTTGGCTTGGCTAATTAAATGTTCTTAGTACTCACAGCTTTGTTTGGGTCTCTCTAGCCTTCTTCCTTGCAAAAAATTTCCCAGATACAGAGGAATATAAGGATTTGGAAAGCCAAAGTTTTTAATTTCAGCACAGCTGGATGGTACCTTGGGCTCATCTTGGAAGAGCCAACTTGTACCTTTTGGCTTCATGGAAAACAATGGCTCAGGAAATTCTTTTAAGCTTTTTGAATTTTTTGCTCTAAAGTTGGGACTCTTGCCTCAAAGGATTGCAAAAGAAGCCAAAAGGTTCTCAAGAGATTCTGGTGGCGAAACTTGGAACAGTAGAAGTCCTAAAAGGCACAGGTTGAATTTTGCCACTCCCACCAACCTGGGAGTGTCTAGGCCATGTTATAGCACTTGCACTGCAGAGTAAGACAGAATGGAGGTGTGAGAGCATCCCCTAAACTCTGAAGTTCTTTATAAAGGCAGGTACCACCACCAAAGTGATCGATCACCTTTGCATGTGTCTTTCTGGTATAATCTCACAATTTACTTCCTGTGTATATCCCATATGACTTTGTTGGGTGGGGGTGGGGGGTTTCTTCCTGAATGTTCAAAGGAAGATGTTCATGGCAGCCCAGGAGAACTGAGCCACAGGTCATGGGGGTACAGGGGACTGCCCAGTTCAAGAGCTTTATTAAGGCTTTCTTGCCACTCTCCTGTCCTTGGACTTTCTGGAGAAATAGAAGTAGAGAGACAGCAAATGTAATGGGAAATACTGGGATTGAGTGGGGTAAGGCTTGGATTGGGTATGGATTTGTTCACTCCTGAACTATATAAATTTGTAAAAATAAAATAGCTGTTTCAGTAGAGTGTGAGGATTTAGCTAACAATCCTTAGAGAACTGTGAAGTCAGATAAAAATCTGACTTTTTATGGTAGAAAATTTAGTAAGAGATATTTATTTTCCTGAAATCAAATGATGTGAGTGAAGAATGTGAGTCTCTTTCTAGAAAGGGTACTGAGTACCTAAATTCCCAAGGACAACTGAAGTCCATGCACATGAGGAAATAAATCACTTTATAAGGAAAGGAAACTGCATTTGAGTCAAAGTAGAAAATGTTTTGAGACCTGAGGAAACCTGAGAAAACGTGTTAGTTATACTTAATCTAATCAACTAAACAAATAGCATTATCAAATCCTCAGATATGTACACAAAACACTCAAAAGACCTCTCCATTTAGTATCAGTGAACTATTGGTCTTACACATAGGGTTTTTGTAATGAATGCATAGCATGGCAACAATGGACGGTTGTTTTGTACTTTCTTATATCTCCAATGAGAATTGAAATAAAAGAGTTCTTGTGTGCTAGGATTCATAGGGGGCTACTGTACCCTCAATATAAGCCCCAACCCTCTTTCTTGTTAGCTTTTGCATTATTTTATCCTTACATTTATGCCATGTAAATGAGTTCTATTAAATTCTTGGTCATAAACAATTTCCAATTGAATGTGTGGCATTTTTAGCATTTAGCCAATTTAGAAATCTTAAAATCATAAAACATGGTAGTTAAATTCTGTGACTCCCGAGGAAGAAAAAGGTACTTTATAAATTCTATCTGCCTAAGGTTTTGTAGGCTGAGAATTTTGGAACTCAGTTGTATCAAAGGTCTGATACCATCTTTTGTGTTTGTCTTTTGAAGGAGGAATAACAGATGGTGTCATCTGTGGGTCACCTGACACCTGGAAAGGAAAGGATCTTCTTATAATCCCTCATGAGCTGTACCAGCCCTGTGCTCTTCCTTCTCTAGATCTGGGGTACTCACAGAATCAGCAGCCTAACTCTGCCTATGGAGGAGAAGACACAAAGCCTCCTGAGAACCACAACTCAGGGCATCACATTCCCTTGGAGTGTGAAGCCAAACCCAAGCCCAGGCCAGCCAACCTGCGTCATGCCATGGCTACTGTTGTCATTACGGGAGTTGTATGTGGAATCGTGTGTCTCATGATGCTGGCAGCAGCCATCTATGGCTGCACCTATGCAGCTATTACAGCCCAATATCATGATGGATCCTTGGCCCAAACCAGTGAGTCTGGGAAGACAGGAGGAAAGGAGATGCTTGAAAGCTCAACAGCCTGAGAGCTTTCATCTCAAAGAGATCAGTGTAGGAGTGGGACCCATATGTTTGCCATTGTGATTTCATTCTGCTGCTTTCCAAAAGAAGGAAGAAAAATTAATATGTGTCTGTGAAAAAATAATTCTGGGAAGAAATTTTTGTTGAAGTGTTAAAAATACTATAGGTGAAATATAAATAATACTTGTACTCTGTGCCTGAGAAGTTATGACAATGATTCTACATGGGGTGGCCATGCACAGAGGGTCATCCAGGTACCCTTCCCTGGATAAAGTTACTTTTGCAATGCAATAAGAATTCTAGCGTGCATGCCAACAGACATGCCTACAACCTTTAGGACACTCTGGAAAATTGCCCGAGTTTGAGTGTCTGGGAAGAGACTGGCACTGAAAATCTCTATAATTCAAGTTCATGCTACATCGTTAGATGTTGGGTATGTTACATATTTAATGGAAGCATCTGTTAGTTGGGAATTTCATAGCTTGCCACAAGAATCAGATTATATTTAATTTTCTAAATCAGAAAACCATTGGGGGCTTTTTAGGATACAGAGGAAGAGGAGGGTTCCTCTTTGGATAATGGAAATCAGGCCTGGGTTTGGGGGGAGTTTTTTGATACAAAGGTAAAGAACATACAAGCAAACACAAAGAGGATGGGGAACTGAAACTGAGGGCAGATATTACCAAAAGATCATATCCACTAAGTGAATGGAACCTTCTATTCATAATGATCAGGGCAGGAATGAATGTATGTTAGTCTGCAAGCAAGGTACGTAATGACTTTTGTGTTTCTGCATCTGCGTTCATAGTGTGCAGAGTGCATGGACTTCTACAACCACACCCACATATAAACACACTTGGAGCAATCAGTTACCCACTAATGAAATGCAGTCATGTCAGGGTGGGAGCCAGCAGCTGTTGATCACCACCCAGATTGTCTACTCAACACTCTAGGAGAGGAAGTAAAAAAGGAATTCTGAAGAGAATGGGAATTACCAAGAGACAAGAGATATGTGGTGGCAGCCATCCTGAACATTACTGAGGTGTGGTTTAAAAAAAAAAAATCAGGTGTGGTTTGCTTAGTACACAGACATGGTTCTGAAGAGTTGCATGCAGAGTGAATTTTTGTAAATTGAATCATCATTTTAATGCAGTAGGGGAGCTCGCTATTTAAAGGAACCTTTCATGGAGTCTTTCTGTAATGGAAATAATTGGCTCCAGATTTGTACATTTTGCAAATTTGCATTTTCTCCTGCTAGGTTTACTTAAAGTGGAATATACCTGTTCTCTCTCAGCTTATTCTTATAGCCACCTCTTGGAATTAAATTTATTTTACACAGGAAGACAGCACAGAGGAGTTAAGGACATGTTAAAAGCAGAAGATGGCAAATACTGGGCAAGCTACCCTTCAGAGGCCATAACAGACATTGCTAATCAATCCCAGCATTCCTCCCAACAGAGCCCCAGTGCACCACATATGGTTTCTTAAGACAGCACTGTAGGCAACCAGAACAAATCAATTGGAATTGGTTCAAAGGATAAAGCACATTTGTGATTCAGGGTACTGGTTCTACATTTACCCCTTAAGGCTGTGTAAAAAATTGGTTTGGATCCTAACTTAGTAGTCCTCTCCCTGACTGGAATGTAGATGAGAGTTTTGCATGGATATAGGACAGACAGAGTAGCCCAGCCATGTTCAATAGTATAAAGAAGCTATAGGGAAACGGATGAGGGAAAACTACCCATCCTACCATGCAAGATTCACACCAGTGTATATCTAATCCTCTCACAGATGATCTATACCTGCCCAAGGTGTTAACTTAGGTGTTCCCTAACAACTCTATGCTAAAGATGGGCCAACTTTTAGGGCAGCAATTTTGCTAGATAATTTTTCTGGTAGAAAAATCTTAAACATGGATAGCAAAGATTTTTTTCCCTGCATGTTAAAATAAACCTGGACACATTAAAGAAAAGATCAAAGGGCATACTCTATGCTCATGTGGAAATGTCACAATGAAACCCATTAATATGTACAATTAATATGCATTAATAGTATACCTTTATAAAGAGTAGATCAAAAAGAGACTCCAGGAAACCCTGGTGGCTACATGGATTCCATCCCAGGCCACGGCACCTCCTTTCTGCTCTGGCATTTGAGCCATTTTAAGGCATGCACAGCTAAGCTCCTGCTCTAAATATGTAGCAACTACTTTCCAGTATTAAAAAAAAAAAGAGACAATAGTGCTATATAGTAGGAGAAGGGAAGTTTTGAAGATCTTTTTCTCCTCTCAATTTCACCGAATGTTTTCCAAGCTTACATTGTGTACCAGGCATGGTGCAAGGTGTTCTCATTAGCATTCTGCATGTACCCTGACACCCACATGCAAGATGTGTGAACTCTCTCATATAAGCTGAGAACAACCAAAGCCAACAGCACATGCTTCCTATAGCTACAATGATTTGGTGTTCTGCCACCCCAACCCTACAGAGATGCTATGAGCAAGCTTCTGGTATCACAGAAACCCATGAATGTGGCTAGAATCCCCTATTGTCAACACTCACATTCTATTAGATTTCCAAGTGGATACGATAACTCCGGCAAGCAGATAGTCAGATTTATGGCCAGTCTTGAGGGGCAGCGAATAAAATGATGCCTGTGTATATTCAGATTTCTATCATTTGCATTGTTATAGGCAAACAGAAGTTGGCAGTGAAATGCCAACAATATCTCAGCGCAGAAAAATAAAAATTGAACTCTTTAACAAATGTAGAGTTATCATTTGTTAATATAAGAAATGAATGTATTAACTGTAAAAACAAAACAACAACAACAACAAAATACTGCAGATTTAAAGACCCAATTTGCAGGATATTCTGTAAGAACCACAAAATTATCTTAACCACCACAGTACACAGAGGTAATTTGAAAATTCCTCATATATTATTCTCAGCTGTTTATTTCTGCTGTCATAGTCATAGATTCCCTTATAAAAAATGGCTTTCCATTACAGAGCCATGCTGACTATCCACCAAGGACAAAAAATGTTTAATGTTATTTCAGAGAAAATTATATAAAGTATCATTTTTTCTCATCAATTTTAGTATACCAGGCATGACCACAGAAGGGAATATTTGCATTGTCAGGGATCACAAATTTATAAACAGACTCTAACTATGAAGGATTTAAAGAAGGAACAGGAAGAATATACGCTGCTATAGAGAATTTGGAGGAAAAAGACAACAGTATCAAACCCTTATAAAAAGCCCTTACAAGTAGAGCGAATATCCTTAACCATTATTCTTGTCCTTAAAATTCTACCTGAGTATCATAATTTTCCTTACAAGATGGAAAGACTAACAGGCGATTCACACATGGATTTCTTCATGATTCATGAAAAGATTTATGAAGATTCATGAAAATCAAATCCATTCCTCAAAGTAACCAAGTACTCCTGAAAAGGGGCCTTTCTCGTAGACACTAAATATCAAAATAAATAGCTAAATCAATTTCCAAAATACTAACATTCATTTAATTACACAACACATTCATATAATTATACAGCTGTTAGGGACCTGTAACTTTTTGTAAAGGAAATTACTTATGGTAAAGACCCATCAGTTCATCTCCTAAATGATGTTGATGAAAATATTTTGCTTTTTAATGCAAACATTGCAACAAAGCCTGAAGGGAACCTTTGTTCCACTCAGAGACTCAGTTTTGTAATACAGAATCCACTTTATAGATTCTTTTCGTTAAAAAATATTATTTTTAGGTTAACATACATTTGCAGTCTAGGGGTTTCACTGTGATGTTTCCATACACGCACACAAGTGCTCTTTGAACAAATTCATCTCCGCTTTCATATTCTGAATCATCCCCTCATTCTACCTTTCTTTTTAAAAAGCATTTTGTGAGTTTCATTATGCCATATTCATACTCACACGCACATTATATAATGTAATGTTTTTCAGCCCTCTTCACCCTCAGTACCCCTTCCTTTCCCTCTTCTATTAGATTCTTGAGTAGACATTTATACCTACTTTTTCACTCAATGTTCATCTGATACACAGGATGTCTCCCAGACGCACAGGTCCAGAAAAAGAATCAAAGGACTGAGGAGTCAGGAAAGGCCTTGAAGAGCATTTAATCTAGGCCTGGAAAATTTTAGAACAGCTGCCACCAGCTACCTTAGCCAGTATAGACATTGCAAGGCCTCAGAATCCTTTGAAATCTCTTTCCCAGGTACCCACAGTGATCAACTAGAGTTGACATAAGAGATTAAACCTATTTTCTGTCCTATTTCCATTCAATTCCCTTATTTTGCAGATAGGAAATAGAAGCCTGGAAAAGGAAAGGAGCATTCCAAAAGTCACATATACATTAGTTGCATTACTGATAAATACAGCTACAGAAGTACTGGGTTAATATGCATACAACTGGACCCTCACTATCCTTCAGCCATACTGCAGTGAACAACAAAACCTAGGCTATGACATTATTCTACTAATTATCTAGCTAAAGATAATTATAACATCACCATTACTGCTACTTATTGAGTATGCAATTTTGTGCAGATGTTTTCATATAATTCATTTTCTAAAATGTTTATTTTCACCAAAACTACGTGTAGATATTTTACTGTGATAGGTCAGACAAGAACTCAGAGGGCCTGGACCCAGAGAGCAAATAGCCCTGAGGGCACACCACCAGTTAGCAGTAGAGTAGAAGAAACTTGGAGGCAAATCTTCCCAAGGCCCAAACCTAGGCACTTTACAGAATGTGACGGAATCAGAGATAGGATCATTTTCTGGCACTACCATTTCCCTAAACCAGTCAGGGAAAAGGAGGCCAACCAACAATCAGTATGTTACTATCAGATCTCTTGCAACATTAAAAATGGGAGGACAGCTGAGGGAGCCAAGGCAAAATATGAGGGTCCTTGCATCACCTGGGACATTCTCAGAATTGGAGGGAAAGAAATTCAGTCACATTCTCTTGTATCATTTGAGAGAATAATAAAATTAGATTCTACACTAAGATGCAAATAATTTAGATTTTTTTCGCTAAAATGTTCATAAATACACATAATAGGGGAAAAATCACGAGAGCCCTAGAAAGT